TGGAAAACGTACCTATAAGTGAAATGTTAAAGAGCAATATGTAAGATGGTGCATTCCACGACTGTCATAAAAACACTAAATAATGGAAGAAATGGGTGCCTGGTTCCAGTAGAGTATCGGAGACTTGGAGAATCAGTGTGCTGAAGCAGTCCTGCCAGCATGTGGTGGCCCAGTATCTAACTGAGGAAAAATGAAATGAGAGCCATTGTGTATGTATATATTGTTTATTCCATAGAAACTGCAGCATTAGACAAGTGCTGAAGCTGTAAACCATGTCGCAAACACAAGATCACACTTTATTTTCCCCCACTTTCACGCATTCCCTTAGCCACACACATTCAATCAATGCCAAGCACTGGTGCAGGGAGATTTGCCAGTAAACACTGAAACAGAAGTTACAGTCACTCAGAACAAAAAAAACTAAACAAAAAAAACCAAAACAAAACATTACAGCAGGGCGTTTATTTGTGACACCAACTGACCTCCTTAACGGATAGAAAATATAAATTATTCCTACAGCAAGTACATTCCCTCTAGTAAGACCCATAAATATGCGTTTGAGAGTTCAAATTACAGTATCTACAGAGGTCCATGCATCCACGATATACATACAGAACAATAAATATCAGATATAGTCACAATACAGCATCAAAATGGATATCTGTGGAGCGGGAAGCAAGCAAGACACCAGAGTCAGCATTCATAAACCAGCTGTGGAAAGGCATTCACAACCTGTGAGTGAACGGAGCGGCCTTTGTGTGGCTGTGAAAACAACAAATAAGGAGAGGGAGGTCTGCAGAAGCACCAGTGAGCTTTTCCTCCAGGCTTCAACCTGGCTCACGATAGAAAGGGGAAAGGGGGGAAAAGGGGACAAGTGAAAGGAGAGATTGATGCAAAGTAAAGCAAATCAACTTTCTCAGCAGTGGCTGAAAAAAGGAACCTCAGAGGGAGGGGGAGACCTACAGAGGAGCGAGTGTGAAAGAATGAGATGAGAGGGGTCAAATCAAGACTTAGTTTTGGCAATGTGGGATCCGGCTGCGAATTAACAGTCTCCGAGTGTATGAGAAGCATCTCTTTGAGGTTTTCACCTCCACCTCCTTTCTCGCTCTCTCTCCCTCTCAGCGAGCGAAGGCCTTTCCTGAGCAATGAGTCAGTGAACGCTGTCAACGCAGAGACGGAGCGGTTCATAGTCAGACTGTCAGCAAACGAGGCAAAGTGCTGGAACCGGAGCACCTCTTGTTTTGTGTTTAGGTTTTCTGCAGCGTCTTTCTCAATGCACAATCGGGCCATCCTGACAGGCGGAGGAAAAACCAACAAAATTTGTCATCAGCATGAAAAGCAAAAACACTCAGTGGTTCAACTTAGAAAAAAAAAGAAGATAAAATCAGTCAACAGATAAAATGCATGACATCCTCACACTGTGCTGTATTGGCTCATTCACATTCCTCATTAAATATTCAGCGCTTCAGAAGCCACATATTGCCTCGTGTGTTTCAGACTGCTGCTCACTGCCTCTCCGTTCACAAATGAAAGCTGGTGGAGACGCTTTGCTAATGACCACTAAAGCCTTGTGATGTAACAACACTCATAATGACTTCTTCTCTGATTCACTGTTTTTTCCCCTATCCAGCATCTACACTGGCTGAAATGAAAAGCCCACTGTTTTTGTTGCACTAACTGAGTCTCTGTGAAGGGCCATGGCTCTGTGTGGACATGAATGAAACCTGCACTCACCCCTACACAGATAAGCTTCAAACACACAAAGTGCTCAAGAAGGTCTACTTAAGTTTATGGGTCTTCTGACCACGGGACACTAAATATAGCTGATTTATTTCTAGATGAAGCCCAGGCTGATCTAAAAGCACACTGAATCTATTTGTGCAGAGGCACTAAAACCTGCTGAAACAATGTGAGCTTGTGTGAGCAGGCAACATACACTAATCAGCCACAACATTAAAATAGGTGCAGTAAAACACGATGAGTATTTTAGTGTAACACCTCTAGGAGACTTTGGCTCATGGCACGTGTACCTTTGACATCACCATCAACACTGTTACCTAGCATAGAGTATAAAGGATGGAAATGGCAGATGTCATTCACTGATTTGCGAAGCCTCGAGCTGAGCGTTGTCAATATTTTTATGACACTGCAAACTTAAATATTAATGACTTGTCAATCACAAGGTAGCCCCGCCCTAAAGGATTCCCTGCGTTCTCGTTTTGTTTTTTAAACTCTACTAAGGATCGTAATATTTGTATTCAGTAAGACTCGACAGCTTTAAGGCACTTTTCAACTGGCTTCAGGTTTAGGACCTGGAAGCCACATCCATCCTTTATGTACAGTCTATGATGCAGATCAAGCTCCCTTCCATGGTTGTTCCAAAAGACATTGACTTCCTTACAACTATCACAAATCCTGCCTGGAGCGTGATCCCAAGAACTGAACCCAACCCCAAAACTGCTACCCCTAATCCATTCATCAGGGCCCCACCCTGGGGGCAGGGTGGCAGCATTGGTAAAAATAATAGATACGTGTCACAAATTCTTAATAATTAATTAGCACTTTAGAGATTCAAAATGTTCTAATAATGCTTGGGAGGTTTACTGGAAAGAGTCACAATACTAATCATCAGCAAATTGATCAGCACAGCCAACTGCTAACATCTACGTAGTTTTGGCTTTAATCAGTCGTAGTCAGGCCCTCGTGTAGAATATGAGGCTCATAGCTATGCTTTTATGCAACTTCCAAATCCTATGACTTAAGGTGTTGCCTCCTTTGAGATGTGTCCTCAAGAAAGTCTGAACTGATCTGAAAAATGCATTTTCCATCGGAAGAGATAAGCACATAAAGTATTTACTTGTGCAGAAACAGGGAGGACTCACAAGAGAATCCAACTGGAAATTAACCAGAAATCACACTCTCAGATCTTTGACTGCACCGAAGTGCACAGTCACAGAGGACTTTACGAGAGTGCATAAGGGCCAAACAGACCCGCAAATAAAATGCTACCAATTAAAGCAAAAACGTCAGATTTTACTGCAATAAAAGTTAACCTAAGTCATAAGCTGCCTTTAATATGCTGTAGGTGTTATATTTATCCTCCAACCTTTCCCTCCCTGTGTGCGTCTATCTATATTTAACCAGCGAGAAAGGCAAATCATTCACCTCCAGCTGAACTCAACAGGGACAAATAAACAACCAGTTCTACTCCAGCAGAGAGCTATAAATCAAACAGCAGTATAATGAGTTAAAGGCCATATCAGTGGGGTCCTAAAGACCTCTCCTTTTTCCTATTAAGTGTCTGCTTATCTAGTGTCTTCTTCACAGTCGACCAACCCTTAGGTTCATTTCCCCAAATCTGTGTTGATGGTAAAAAAAACAAAACAAAAAACAGACAAATTCAACTCTGAAGAAACAAGTCTAACTTCTGTGCATGTTGTTTTTTCTTTACATAGCTATATCTTGTGAGCTTATCTGACAAAGGGGGGAAAGTCTATATGCAGATTTGATAAGGCGTTTGGTACACACGGGGCAATATTTTCCCTGAAGTACTGAGAGGCAGCTTATCAGTGTCGGACTCTGCGCTTTTCATGCAAACTATTTAGGCAAAAGTGTTTTCTGGTTCTTCAATTTCTGTTCTGTGACATGAGGGGTTTTAAAGAGGGCCTGGCCTCAGCAAAGCACTAAACAGTAAACAATAAAAGGGCGTGCACTGAAGTACAAGTACACTCTATGATCTATGAGTTCATGGGCGACAGTGTAGTTGTGCTGCTTTCTGATATAGTGCATTTAAAGAGAAAACATAAAGCTTTTCACAAGAGACTCTTTTGGTCAATATCCGATAAATGGAAATAAGAAGCTGAATGCTCCAAAGGCCTCAGTCTGCTGTTAATCTCCCACAATAGCACTGCAGGTCAGTCAGTGGAAACTTCAACATAGAATAAATACCCTAACACTCATCCAGACATGTTCCAGTTCCTTGGTTTGTACAAAAAAACAAAAACAAAAAACCCCATACAGTACTGATTTAATTCTTTAGACAAAAGCGTATTGTTGCTTCATATTATTTTTATGTACATTTTCAGTAGTCGTTACATATTTAGTATTTCAGCACAGTTTATGGATAGAGAATGCATATTTAAAAAAAAAAAAAAAAAAAAATCAATCTTTTGGCTTGTGGGTTGGTGTTATTCCTTCACCTGCGTCGACTGACGTTAAACTTTAAGTTCAGCTGTATTTGCTTTCATCACTTTCTGATGGTTTGTTTCTGTTTTCCGGGAAGCTGGACTGTGAGTCACACACCTGCTTGTTATGTTTTCTGATTGGTGGGTTAAACTGTTACGTGCATTAGTCGACAGCTGATGAAACTTACAGCATACATTTCTGCTTACATAACAAGTCCAAAGCTGTATTTGCCTTTGTCCAGATAATAGAAAGCTGTTGGGAGGACTGGTTAATATTTTAAACAGAACTTAATTCAAACCCCAGTGTGGAGGCTTGTAGTACTTAATAATATCGATTGTTCTGAACTGCAAAAGATCAAAAATGTGATTGCTTTTGGGCATTTTGAAACTGCTTCACTGCCACTGCTCATCTCTTTTCCAGCATTGTTGTTATTTACAAAGCAGCAAATCGACATGGACAGCTTTGAAGCGCAGCTGACAACGTCGCTGCAGTGGTTCCTGCCACGCTTACAACTGTTTTAAATCTACAGTTTAGCTAGAGCATAGTCTGATGTGCACCTTCAGAGAAAACAACTGCGGTTGGTCTGTTTGGTGTTGATGGTCTGTGTAAGCATAGTTTACTGATTAGCTTCCTCACTATTCTAATGCAAGAGATATTAATCTTCCAATGTAGGCGGATGCCGTTTTCATGTTTTCATTCCTCTTGACAATCCGTGCATAAAATAAATAAATAAGTTAGATTCAATCTTGACAGCAGACCAGTGCAGGCAGCGCTGTCACCTACTACGGCACTGGCTCTATAGGGGTTCAAAGCAGGACTGCAAGTTAAGCTTTAATTGCTTTAATTGTGTACTGTTTGGTATGGTTTTATTGTTGTAGTCTTCTACAGTACCATAACCCTTTTCTTAAAGTTGCATATTAAAACAGCCTTTGAGTTTCCATGTCAATGGACCAATTTCCTTAATACTCTTTAGTCTTTAGAGCACACTGGTGACATAGATATCAGTGGACTGAAGGAACCTTTTAGTTCCTTTAAAAATATGTATGGCAACATACAGTGTGTTTGCTGCTGCTGGAAATAAGGTCAATGAGAGCGGTGAGAGTGACGCAAAACCAAAACACTGGAACATGAGCTAAAAGAGGCCAAAATGCTGGATGCATATCTGAACTGTTCTTTTTAAAAACACTTAATGTAAAAATTTGATGTAATAATTGAAAGCAGTGGGTGTGGGGCCAAGGGCCACAGACACTGTACTGTAGTTAGGAATTATTGACAGATGGAATAATGCTACTGGGTTTGATCTTTAGGCCTATCTGAAATTTTCCAACAATAAGAAAAACCCCCACAAAATAACACCAACCTTAACACTTTGAATAAAAACTTTTTTTTTCTTTTTTTTTTTCTTTTTTCTTTTTAAATGTAGTCGCCCACACTTTGCTACACTGTTTGATTTACTGCAAGTTCTCAGTCTTAAGCTCTGGGCAGACCACACAGGCTTGCAATTAGTTTGCAGCACTGATTGCACAGAAGTGTGCGAATGAAATCTGCACATAGCTTGCAAACTAACATGCAAGACTGTCTGCACTTCAGTGTAGATATGTGCCACATGAGATTAAGTCGCTACAATGATAGCATAAAACGAGTCAGAGTACCGCTACACTGACCCAACCACGCAGGTGATGCACAGCCGACTGGAACTGCATAAAGGCATACCATAGTTTAATCTAACCCTTTATTTCAGGCTCAGAGAGAAACTAGTGCCCCTTCTGCCTGTTTATATTGCATACGAAAACCAGAGTCCTCTGGGACCCCCCCCAAAAAAAGAAAACCACCAGCCAAATGATTGATTCTTTTTTTTCTCTTGTTTCACACACATAGGAGAAACGTACGGAGCAGACAGAGCATGACTAAGAAGCACACTGACTTGTTTTTTTTTTTAACATTCACTTGGTAAAACTAGTACTAAGCGTACTTCAGATTACAGCAACAACAGACTGGCACAATTTAAAAAAAGACTATCGTTCTTCCTTGGCAGTCCTTGTTCAGACCCACAGTGTAGGGCGTGTGTCTTTCTAGACCAGTTATATAGAAGAGAAGGAGAAACAGGAGGCACAAATAACTGTTTGATCAAGCAGCCAGCAGGGGTAATGAAAAGCATATGAAATTGCAAGTATCTGTTGGTGAAATGGGAACATTAGAAGGCGATCCCCACAAGGACGCCTCCTACTGATCGACCAACTAACCAGCAGGTAGTTTCACTCCCTGATATGCCACCACTGTAGGTCCTTCTGTTGCATGAATTAGCTTGATTTAAAAGTGCATCTCCCCGAAGGGCTTAAACCTGCTGCCAAAATGAAAAAAAAAAAGCTTCTTTATAAATAAAGTTCTGATTATTTATCACATACCGCTGAGGACGGGAAACCACAACTCTCTGTACGTCGTCGTGTAAAGCCTCTGTAACAGTGACAACACAAAACTGGAATCCGGCAGCTCTGTGAAAAAACTTCCAACAATGCCGCTTGAGCGCCACCTTGAGTTTTAAAAATGTTAACAGTAGAGGGACATCCTACTCCGCCGCATGGCCTCGCTGATCAGATAAGCTGGGCTGACCTCTGGTTCTTCTGTCATGACCACAATGTTCTGCCACTCTCCGCACTGGTTGGACTTCTTAATTGTATCCACCACACACAGCGCATATAGGCAATCCTCAAAAGTGGCAGCCATTGTCAGGGGCCTCCCGTCCCACGTCCGCCGGTCATCTTGGTCCTGGAAGGCCTGCCGCACAGCCTGGATCATGCGGATCGTCCCGGTGAGGTAAGGGGACGGAATGTCACTGAAGGCCTTCTCCGGCAGGGAGGCCTTCTCGAGAGGCGTGGTGTCTTTGAGCAGGAGCTCAGGGCCGCCACCACTTTCTCCACCGCCACTGTTCTTCTGTCCATACAAGTCTGTCCCTGTGACCGTTAGCCTCCCGTCAGTCCCTACAACTATCACCTCCTGCCTGAACTCTCCGGGGACATTGAAGTTGAGCGTGACGGTGCAGCAGGCGCCTCCCTCCAGTACCATCTGGAACGTGCAGAAGTCATCACTGGTGATCTGGCGGATGCCCCGAATGTGGTCGGTCTGTTTGACGAAAGTCTTGAGGAAGCCGTGGACTTTGGCCGCACGCTGGCCTGTCAGAAACGTAAGCAGGTCAATAATGTAGCTGCCAACCGAATGCAGGCCACCGCCTCCCATCAGATCATCGCAGCTCCAGTTGTATTTTTTCCCAAGGAGGCTACCACTGTGGACCTTTAAGACAAAGAGGATAACAGGGGAGGGAGCACAAGTTTTTTAGATTTTATTATGGCTCACTTGACTGTGATCAGGAAAAGCAAGAATGAAAAGGAGATAGTTGGGTAGCATCTGGGATCAAATCTCAAGTAAAAGCACCAGGGTACCACCAGTGTCTTGTAGCAACATTGATTCTTTGCTATGCGGGCGCTGCTATAACTCAATCTAACATTGAGATAAAAGCATAAGAAACAATTTGTATAAAAATGTCTTCACACAGCAATAAACAGAAGTAGTTCTGGTCATACCTGGGCCTCACAGACCAGAAGTTCTCCGACGTAACCTTCCTTCAGCAGCTCCTTCATTCGAACAAAAGCTGGCAAGAAACGCAGAACATTTCCCATAATGCTCAGCAGCTTGGGGTAGTACTGGGCAGCGGACATCATTCGGAAGGCATCCAGAGGCGTGGCGGTCCTGTCGCAGATTACATTTTTGCCAATACCTTATAAAATAAAGGAGAGACAACGGGGAATCAGACATGCAACCTTGCAACTTATTGTACTAAAAAAGCCTGACAGCTTACTTGGAATGTTCAGATGAAGGAAGAAGGTGGAAGAGAAGAGACGGAAAGAGAGAGAGTGAGAGAGTCATAATATCCTCTTGAGCATAAAAACATCCCTTCCCCTGAAGAAACAATGCAAAGCTGCTAAATGTGGTAACTCCCACAACAACTGGCTCAAGATTTCATGAACTTTCAAGTAGTTCCTATCTGGTCGTGAGAACTGTTAGTGTAAACTGCACACCAATGGTGAATCCATGCAAAAAGGCAGTTTTGCAGTCTGTATTATTGGCTCCACCAGCCAAACCTAATGAAGATCTTCTAAAGTCACTAAAAGCCATTTAGATGGGCTGCTGGGGGATTCCCACGATGTATTGAGTGGTAAATGGCCTGTATTTGTATAGCGCTTTTACTAGTCCCTAAGGACCCCAAAGCGCTTTACACATCCAGTCATCCACCCATTCACACACTGGTGATGGCAAGCTACATTGTAGCCACAGCGGCGAGGCCGCCAAACAATGGTGCCACCGGGCCCTCTGACCACCACCAGTAGACAACAAGTGAAGCGTCTCGCCCAAGGACACAACAACCGAGCCTGACCAAGCCGGGGCTTGAACCAGCAACCTTCCGATTACAAGGCGAACGCCCAACTCTTGAGCCACGATCACCCCCATTGAGTGCATCTTCTTCAGTCACCTTTTTCACTTACTATGTGTTAATAAACCTCTTTACATTTAATTATTAGTCATTATTAATCTCTAGATCTCTTCCAAAGTGTGTCTTTGTCCTGTCTTTATCCACCTAACTGCCCCTCCAGTGGGTTTTCTCTGTATTATTGGCTTTACTTTAGAATATAAAGTGCCATGAAGCAACTGTTGTTGTGATTTATTAAATAAAAAGTCAATTAATTTGATAAGTTGAATTATTGTTGGCAGGCATGCATGATATTGCAGACATAACCATGGTGTACAGTAAGACCACACAGCTCACAGAGGTTTAGACAGGGTTCATTTGCATTACTGGATGCCTTATGGAAGGCTGATAAAAGGAAGTGCAGAAGAGATGAAAAAGAGAGGCGAAAGACCGTGTACGAAACCCAACAAAAATCACTTCCAGCACATCAAAAGGCCCACTGGTGGCAGAAACACCCAAACACAACCAAGATGTGAGGCTGTATGTCTGTCCTCACATCACCATTATAGTGATGGGAGGGTTTTTTTCTGTCATAGTTTTTTTTTCTGTTATGGTTACAAAGAGAAAAACGGGACCAGCCAAATGGCTGCCCTGCAAAATATGCTGTTGAGGAGTAAGTTGCTTTTCATTGATTTGTTGTTCAGTTTCTAGGCAGAAGAAACAGAATTAGGCAAAGCACCAATTTTGCCTCGAGCCAACAGTTCAAAGAAAATCAATTCTGAGTGACAGAAAAGAGACCCCCCCGAAATCTGTCTGCAAATTGCAATCGATTGTCAAACTGGCTCTGAATGACAAAAACATCGAAACAGCTGTGCTGTTCTTTACTACATCTTTGCAAAGAACATCAATGTTAATCAATAACACTCAATTTCAATACTGTACAAAAACGAAAACTATCCATCATGAGGACGCCTTGAATGCATGAAACCAATGTAAGTAAACAGTCTCTGTGGCCACAATAGTAAATGATGAAACATACTGTATAGAACAAAGTCAACATAGTGACACAGTATAGTTCTTAGCATACAGAAATCTATATAAACTTCAACAGAAGCCCATCTTTGTTTGCGGTGTGGGCAGTGCCACAAGGTTCTTGTAAAAAAAAAAAAAAAAAAAGCCAGTTAACTTATATCTTTTTTGTCAATGAAGATAATGTGTTACATTCAATTTCATTTTTTTTACATGTGTAAAGACAGGTAATGTGAATAGTAATCTACATTAACTAGCTTAAATGTTCTAGCTTTTCACAAAAGATGCATACAACCACTGACAGGCGCAGAAACGCTGCTTCCTCTAAACCGTGCAGTTGGAACCTTTTCTCTTGTAAGACCGGTAAATACAAAACAACAGCTGGCCTGTTCCATATTAGGAAAAACTGACCACACGTGGTATCTGTTGTACTGTTTGTACTGTACTGAATAAGAATAAAGAACTCAAAGAGGATAAGTACAGACCACTGTACTGAATAAAGGTGCATTTTTAAATCCATTTGTATTTGTAAGTGAAAGAATGCGGTATTTTCTCTGCACAATCATGCTTATGTCTTAAAACCTTTGACTGACTGGGGGGGGGGGGTCTAAGCCTCCCACTAGTGTCGGGCTGTTGCTAAGGATTTATTTTGACTGATACGCTGACACTGAGCTGTTCTTGTGGCCACTTCTGCCACTGTTAGCTTAATGCACTGTAAATGCTCTAGATTCACACTGTCAACAGGGAGTCAAATAATAAAGGATATGTACACACAATCTAAAAGCATTGCTTCACATACTGTACACATTCCTTGAGCCCTCAGAGTGGGAAAAGCTTCACAGTGGAGTCCCGGCTGAGGCTGCCTGTGGGTGAACTAGCAGTTTTGGACGTGAACTTCAGCTCCAATTAGCCAGGTCAGGATATTAATCCCTCTGACCCAGTTCTGAGGATCGCTAAGGGAGCCCCCACACCCCCACCCACCCATTACCCAGCCACTGTGCACACACACAAAAAGAAAAAAATATTTACCCACGTCCCCTTCGTCTTGGCAGCAACACACAGAAACAGATACAGGAAAAGACACACTGCCTCGGGTGAGACTCTTCAGGCTAAATGCTAAATGTTCTTGACAGAGTTTTTTGGTTTTCATATGAAGCACTAGCTTGCCTAGTTACAACACAATACAGAACAATAGAATATCAACAATACAAAAAGGATAAAGAATACTGGAACTTTTTATACTGTGTTATTCTCATGGTTGTGCTGTCATGCCAAACTAAAGTGTGACCTTTATGGAGACGAAAAGCGGCTTCTCTTCAGATCAGCAACGACCTTTCGCTCCTTGTCTACAAAGCTCTGAAAGGTCGAGCCTGGCTTAGGCAGGTCAGACTGATGAGTCAGGGGAGCTACTCTGCTGAAGTGTGACCTAGACCTGGATGGGTCACATCGTGTGTTTGCGCAACAGATTATGGATGCACCTGAGCACAAGGTGCTATCATAGCAACCACTGCAGTAAACCAACAGCTGGGAGATGAAATGATACAGCACTAATGCTGTATTTGGTAGACCAGAATTAAAAGTGAATAGAGGAGCGTGAGAAGAAATACGAGTGCAGAGCACAGAGCAAAGAGTTAAAAAAAAAAAAAAAAGGAAGAGGAGGAGGATGGGAAATGGAGCGAACGCAATCGTAAATTTAAGAAATCACATGGGAATCCCTTGAAAGATGGGATGCCAAAGAAAGATACAGTGTCATCAGTACAACTAGGATTATAGGCAGGACTTTCAAGAGTAAACAAATGGCACTCGAATGGATAAGGATTGAGGGTAAAATACAATACTGCATTTGTGTACTTACAGCAGTATTGTGGGCCATATACAGCTCCCCGTAAGGGACCTGAAGAGCTCAATTTAGTGGGTGATCTATGCTCCAACACTCAGTTGTGAGCATTGGGAAGTGAGAAACGTTGAGTTGATGTTAATCTCTAGACATATCATCTCTAGACAGATGTGCTAGCAAAATTGCTGAACAAGCGTCTGAACACCTCTCTTCCTTTCTGCATCTGAAATTTTTGTTAGTTACAGAAACAACAGCACAAAGTAATACCCAGTCTAAGGGGAAACCCTGAGACTGGGTGTACTGGTGCAGCATATGGGAAGGAATTAATGAGGAATTAATTAGAAATAAAAAACATAATAACTTTTTTGTCAGACAGACTTAGACTTCCAACTGAATTTATCAAGACACTTGATGTAACCCAACATTGATCGTTAACAGCCTGCTTTGCTCTCAATTTGTTTAACAAACAGCTCATGTATAAATTCAATATCTGATTTTAAATTGCTAAGTTGATTGAGGACATTACATGTAAGCTTTTATTTCCAGTTTATCTATTAGTACATACCAAGTAGTCCTGATCGGCATCTGCACCTTATAGCTAGCAGACAAACAGCTGAGTGTTATGTTGAGGTGCTCAAAAAATTCATTTGAAATAAACTGTCACTTAAAAAACCCTTACTCCGTTTATGCTTGCTCCTCTTCTGTGCTACTAATTAGATGTTCAAGCACTGTAACCCACTTTACGTCTGCACCATGAACACATCACAGATGTACCTTCAATGGAAGCGACACCAGGCTGCCAGACATGAAAAATGAACTCATTCGACAGTAATACGCACTGACCTGCCTATCAGATTTAAGTGGTCATTAAATTAAGGTGTTCTGGATTATTGGAGCCCTACCTAGGATGTAACAACTGGGATAAGTGCAAATTCTGACCTGCTTGGTTGCCACGAGGCTGGTAGGAATCAGCCTATAACCTGCCTCTGTTCCTGATGCCATTCTGTTAAGGCTGCTTCTCTCCTGGCCAACCTCGCTTTATTGAAATACTGTATATTGCAGTTTAGCTGGTCTTTGAGCCTTCAGTGTGTTAATAGTGGTGGTTGATAATCTACTGGATTTACAGCTAGTAAGCTTCTTCTTTTTCTTAATGTGTGCCACATGTGAGATCAACAGTGGAAAATATCCTTAGATATACGGTAGGTTTAGTGTAAAGGCCTGACGCTGGGGGTTAGGGTTGGTCGAATAGCTACACTTCCTCAGGATTGGTAGGGGTAAATTAAAGCTCAAATCGCAGGTAAAGTTCCTGGCCCAGTGGGAGAGCAGTAATGGAGCAGAAAAAACCCTTGAGCACAGAGGCTCAGTCCCTTAGCATCAATAATTCACATATAAGACTTATCTAACCAACAGATTTAAAGGCAAAGAGAGAGGAAGGCCCTGCATT